TTAATGATTCTATGATTCTATGATCATTAAAGAAAAGGAAAAAGACAATGACCAGAAGCATAAACCTTGAAGAATCCTTACATTAAAGCAGTATACAGAAAAATGAGAATATTATGTCAAGAGGACTTCAGTCTGCCAATTATTTACTGTAGGAATACTCAAAAGGTGCTGTGATCGTGACAGAGATCTCAATCAATCAATCACTCACAATATATTCTTAGCACAATTTTTTTTCTCCTGGTACAATCCATTAAATTTCCTTACCCCAGTCTGTTCCATCTCCTGAACTTCTCGATTCCCCATCACCTTCATCTGAGGTAACCAAAAAGTCAAACTCTTTCAAAGCTTCTTCTGTATCTCTGTCTTCACTGCTGTCAGACAGAACTCTTTTCCTTACAATCTGAAAGGTCAGGAAGGAAAGAAAAAAGCTGAATTAAGTTACATGCACATCTTTATATCGAGCAGTACTCTCTTGACTTCTATGCAAAATCCTAACAGGATGTTGAAGAAGCAGCAGCAAAGTATACATTAATAAGCGAATCTGGAATAAGCATACACATTTTGTTCAAATGTCTAAGTCAAAATGAAATTTGTCTGTGGATCTTTCTTCCTGTGACCACCAATAATCAATCACTTGATAATGAATCTACACTGACCTAGATCACTACTATTTTTTTAATACCAGAAAACTACAAACTTTCTCTTAATACAGATTAAAAAAACCCACACAAACCCCACAAACAAAAAACCTAGAATGCAGTAGAAAGGACTTCAGTAAAACCAAACTCACACTGCTTCTCTTAAAATAGCCTTTTTAACTCTCACCTCTGAAATCACTCTACATGTGGACCAAAAGACAAGTCTAGGGAAAAAAACCACAACTGACAAGAGCTAATTTGCTTAGATTTGGCAAAAATTATTCCATCCTGAATACTTCCTCGGATATTATTGTTATTTAAACATGGTACTTCCATGTCTAAACCGCATTTCCCTTTCAAATTCAAAAACAAATTTGGTAAAAAAAAATTACCAAATTTTGGTAAAAGAAAAATTACATATTTTAATGAAGGACGTCATTGTATACTTTCTGCAATAAATTTACTTTTCCCTCAACAATCAAAATGGACTAGATACTTTACAGTTATTTGACTAACAGGTGAGCTGATGCCGTGATACATGAAATCTGTAGCATAAATTTTACTTCTACAGAACAAGAAATATTACATTCGTCACAATATTTTGACTCGGAAACTTGCTAAGGGTCAGTCTGAAAAGACTTCAATACACAGGCCAACATCCCATAGTTCATGAGGATGAATGACTGTTTCCCCTAACTACAATAAACCAATTTCAAAATCTGAAGCAATTCTAAACTTCAAGTTTCATTTCTTCAGCAGGCTTACTGAACACACCATACTACAGACGATTTTACCGAAGATTCTCAGACATTAGTTCACAGCCCATGGATGACAGGAACAAGTTTACAAAGATACTCTTTAAAAACTCTATAAAACTGACGTTTTTTTAAGTGTTCATTCTTAAAACTGATCATAGAAACAATCACATTCATCGTAACTCTTAACTGCTTCAATTGTTAGAAAACACAACTCATTGAATAAATTCTAATTTTGAAAAGAAGAGGATAAAATTGAGTACTGATTGTATGTATCTATTTTATGTGATCGTATGACTAAATCATATAGCTAAGTATAGATCATGAGGAACTTTCAGGTATTTGACTGAATAAACAAACAAACAAGTTTATTAACCACATGTTAGAGTTTTTCCAGTTACACTTTTTCCTCCTTCCACAAGCTATTTAAAGAGAAATGTGGTATTTCAGTTCTGTACCCTACAAGGATAAGTTTCAACAAGTCATTTTAAATATCAATACATTTCTATAAACATTCAAGAAACAATGCATTTTTGACATGCAACATTACAAACAATACCTTCAAACTAAGCTGAAAATTGTAAAAAAGGACATCTGCTAGCTTAAAAATTGTATCCAATATATATCAAAAATACTAGGCAGTATAGTATAGTAGAAGGACAATTTAAAAAATTTTAATCTGTCACTGCAAACTTAAAGCAATAAAGATGGTAAAGCTTAACTTGTACGCACAAACTCAGAAATGCATATATAATTCCTCTTACGCACACATGCTTGGACAGACCATCATAAAGATGCATTAATGATTTGCACGTGTACATACACAGTCATATACTTTGCATATAGGCATCTCATTAATCTCACTTTTTCTGTTCTTCGTAACTTTTTCAATTATTTTTTCCACTCACTGTTGCGGTATCAATGATTGTTTTCTCTCTTCCTTCAATATCTTCTTCATCTTCTTCATCACTAAAGTCTGCAGCTGCATTTTCAAGAAACTTGAAGGTCTCTAGCAGAGAGGCAGAGTCAGTCAATTCAGGTTTCCTAAACAACAACAACAACCACCATCATGCGTCAAAAGAAATCATAACAAAGTCACTTTTCCAATTACCAGTCTGTTCTGTATTATGATGTCCAACAACACACGAGACTAAAATAAGCCAACAGGTAAAAATGGACTATTACAGGTAAAAATGTTTGTGGATTAAAAAACTAAACATTATCCATAAACTTATTAGAACCAACAATTACTCTTCATCCAGCTGCAATTACCAGGACAGACACTCCAATTTTTCATTTGAAAAGCATTTTAAAGCAACATTCATCTGATATGTGCCCAAAAGCAACATATCAATACTGATATACCATCAATGAAAGTCTCAGCAACAAGGACATGAGTTACCGCTACTAAGTTGGCCTCCCACATGTACATCAGGGTACAGGAAAACTTTGCTGCTGCTATCTGATGTTCCTCACCTTGCTGGGAAATATCAAACTCTAGATCTATCATTCATTAACTTTTGAGACATGGTAAATTTGCCACTATAAAACAATATAATGGGAAAATATCATTGATGACTAAGTAACATTTACGTAGATGTTAACATTAAACAAATAAGGAAACAGATGAAGATTGGGTAAAATTATGACTGCACTGGCACGAATTCAGGCAGTGCCTCAGAACAGGAAGCATAAGGGTTGGCATATTAACAACTGAAGAGGAAGAATCCAAGAAGCAGGACTGTAACCATTATTAAAACTCTGATGAAAGTACAATTAAAGCAATCCCAAAATTAATGACAGGTACTGTGCTTTCTATGCAGAAGACACACTTCTCCATCAATCCCTCAGAGATAAAGTGATGAAAAAAAATTATTCAGTTTGAATTGTAATGATTACTTTCAGTAAAACCTTGTACATTCTTTATATGACTTTACAGCAGTAAAGACAAGCTTTATTGTTTTCTTACCTTTAATCAGTAGTCTGTTTTTCATAGTTCATCACTAAATGCACGTCATCTTGATTTTCACAACCACTGAAACAATAGAAGTGTCTCTCTCTCTTTTCAGAATCGTAGCTCTAAATTGTCTTGTACAATCACCCTTACTATCAGCAAGTGCCTTACTAATGCTACATTTTGCGTCTGCTATGACCCATTTCAAAAGGTTCAATCAACTAACAAGCCTATATAGTAAGGTCTTTTAAAGTCCCTGCAGTGTAAACACCTGGTTAGCCGGCCATCACCCACTTATTCCAGTGTTTCTTCATAACGTTTTTCAAAGGTTTATTACAGGAAACATCCAAGGGCAAAAGCTCTGATGTGTAATAAGGTGTGATAAGCAGCACACTTCCTTCTTCACGCAGTCTCTGCTCAAGCAGTTCTATGCTTACACGACAACAATTAGCAAAAGTGGCTTCTTCATAGCCCCAATATGTCTGCATCTCATTAAGACAATTTGCTATTCTACCTTTTTTTCATTTACTCATCTTTACGGCCCAAAAACACCAATAAAGATTTCACTTGCCATTAGATATGCCACATACATAGCACCATAATATACCGTGATGTACAGTATGTTTTCATGGTCACTGGTTTTACTGAGAATATTCCTTCCACATTCCCATATCTTATCTTAGATAAGAACAACCTCAAACATGCTTCCAATTTGCCTTGCTTCCTGCAGTATTTCGACCTTCTTGTTTCTATGACAAACCTGAAAGCACTCTGTAATATTTTTCTTTTTCCTTAAGTAATCACTACTTTGGCAGACTATAATACCTCATGAATCTGTAGTAATAATGTACATTTTCACAGAAATCCTATGGTACTGTTATTTTGCTGTTTCCAACACACAAATCTTGATAAGACAAAACTTGTAATGGGCTTCACTTGACTAACTTCCTGATTTCCAGCAAATTTTGTGTGTCCTGGTCAACTTTTAGTGGACTAAATCATCCAACCACAATTTTATTTCTGTTTTTTTTCTTCTGTATTTTGCTGTGTAAAAATTTGCCATGTAAAAACATCATGGCTGCTGATCTATATTAGCAACTATTAGCGTGCTACAGTAAATAGCAACATATGAACTAATACCAAACATAGAATACAAAATTTTAATCAACAGAACTTGTTATTAAGAGACAGATATCCTTCTACAGGTAAGGTACAAGTATTTGCAGTAATTCATACCTACATTTGGTTCTGTACTCATTTGATCTTAAATCAGGCTCTCTCACACTGAAGTTCAAAGTGATCACCGAAAGAGAAGGTTATATCTTTTTTAAGTAACTGGTCTGAATTCAACTATCATATTCATTCTTACATACTTTAGTGGGCAGGATATATACATAATTGTATATCTCTGTTTACACAAGGGGGTAAAAGGCATCTCATGCATTGGAAAACACAGTAGTTTATCATATATTTCAAAACTCTTGCACAGTACAAAAATGTACAAAGTCAGCATAGTACCAAAGAAGATTATTTGTGCTAAGGCACAACTTCCATGAAAGAATTCGTAAGAACCAAAAAAAGAAAACAGAAGTGACAGAATATTTAAACTATTTAAAGGTTCTACAGGGAAAAGAAGCTTCAAGCTGACAGACACGTTGACTGGCTATATTGTACCCCAATACACTTTAGCAGTCAAATCAAAAGTAACTCAGTAATTTTGCTATTTTTCATTTAGCTATTTTTCATCCTTTAGCAGTACATAAACATAATGCATTTTAGATATTACTGTCAGCATGAACAATCAGGGATACTGTAAAATATACTTAAGAAAATGTCTAGCCTTAGCTAATTTATGTTATGTACTTTGATGGCAATTCGAAGCTTGCTTGTTTCATTATTTTCCATCTGTTTAGTTTGTTTCTCTTATGGTGTCATTCACAAAGCAACATAAAAAAGCCAAAGTGGTAAAAATATATTGAGAGATAAGGTAGTATAATAAATTACTTTAAATTCCATTTTAGAAAAAGAAACACAACTCAACATCTCCAGGGCTTTTGTAGTCTAGAATACTTTTTAAAAAATTAATGGGTGAAAACAATAGAATGGAGCTCCAAAGGCAGGGACTGATACATGAACTGTAGTATTACAGGCACGAGTGAGGCAAGACTATGGCAAGGTTCAGGACCTGTTGCAAATAAATGGAGACCAAAAAAACTAAAAAGGTCTCAAAAAGGACAATGCCTCTTTACTGGACTGTCCTGGATCAAAACGTATGTAAGGAAGGACATAACTTTCAAAGTGCAAGAACTTAGGTGTTGCTTTTTCCTTCTTCCCCAGCCATACTGTCTAAAGAAAAACTGCTGGGGAAGAACAAGCCAGAAACCCCAGATAGCAGGAGTAGCTACAGAAGCTGCCAAAGCAGACAGCATAGAGCAACCAGATTTTGGCAGGACTTCCTCAACCCTGTGCTACTCAGCTGCTTGTTTTAATCTCTTTCCCACTGCTCTTTCCTCAACCATACTCTGCAACAGCACCATTGCATGGTTTTCTCCCCAGTACCTAACCCTGCCTTCTTTCCTTGAGGGTTTCATCCCAGTTGACTTACCACTTCCTAACCAAACCTAAATCAAAAAAAAAAAAAAAAAAAAGGTAACCAATATAACATCTTCTATCAGATACTGTTAACTCTGTGCATTACATCCTTCCCTCCAGTAGCCTTATCCAATTAGACAGGAAAGTCTTTGGGGCAGAGAGATTACCTGCTAGTTGTGTCTGCGCATGATTAAGTACAACAGGACTAACTGCTTGTCACAAGCGTAACAAGAACAATAAGTAGTGCCAGAAAGTAAAGTGTAGCTACACTACTGCTGCTGGGTTTTCCATCTTACTATTAACGGATAGGCAGCGCATAAATTTTGCTAATGTTACTCTTGAGACAGGGAACTTCTGATCCCCAAAGACAAGACACTTTTTCCTGTTTAAAACACAAAATTCTTGTTACAAATGGGCTGGTAACCGAAGTACTGACATGAATATTTTTCTCCCCAGTTTCTCCCCAGTTGCCAGAATTTTCTGCAGCTGTGACTGCTCTGAAAATCTCATCCCAACTTGTATTTTACAGGCTGTTCAATTATTCAGATTTGTCTTAACCCCTTGGCCCCTTTAAGACTAAAAATAATAATAATCTCTTCCCATGAAATCTAAGAAATATGATTTGTGGATATTCCACATGTACTATTTAAAGCAAGCATGGCTCTCACTGGGCCTCAGCGCTTCATTTTCTGCCCTACAGCCACATGGCTCAAGACAAGTATTTTGTGTAAAAATCCAGTTGGCCCTGACATCAAAATATTAGCAGCTTTACAAAATGTATAGTGTTCAATTGGCTCTCAACATGTAATATTCAGGATCGTAACATAAATCCAGTTTCTCACTGAGTGAAAAGTAGAAACCATACATAACCTATAGGAAAGGTGAAGTTGTTATGTGGAAACTAAAACAGCACATTGATGATACCTTTCCTGCTCCGAACATGATCCACAACGTTTCATATTGCAAAGTCAAGTTTAACTTAGACTAAAGCCACATTACAGACATGTATTTTCTTTGTAACCAACACATTCAATATTTCTATCATTACCTTCTCCTTTGTTGATAATAACTCTTGGGAGTCTGTGGTCATGTCCAGGGAGACTCTCAAACTTCTCCCATGAACTGCCCAACCACAAGGCCTTTAGCTGCCTCGGTCCTACTACTCCCCCAAAGGAAGAAATAGAGGGGTTTTTTGTTTGTTTGTTTTATCCAAGACATGCACAAGTTATCTCAAATAAAACCAGATTTTATTGATAAATTCAGAACCAGGAAGAAATACCACAGTAAAGTTAAATAAACACAAGTTCAGCTTAGGCTGAGAAATGTTTCTGAGGGCCTACACAGGAAAAAGCCTGTTGTGACCCAGCATTCAAACAGCTATTCTAGCATACTCTTTCTTGAGCCATTTTCTTTGGCTCAGTTTCCTCCTAATATCAAAATGTGCTACTACAAGGTCGTAAGTTTTATTAACTCCCCATAGAATTTAGTTATTTCATGT